ACGTCCGAATTTTTCTTAATTTTGTTTAATTTTTGAACATTTTCCTTAAAATTTGAAAGATTTTTTCAAAGAAGGTAAAAAAAAATGTAAAATTAAGTCTGAAATGTGTTAGTTTTGTTTACTGCAAAGAATATAGACCGTTTTTCTTGGAGAAAATTGCAAAATTAAGCTTAAAATGCGTTATTTTCCTTTATTTCAATGGATTTATAGCGTTTTTCACTGAAAAATTGAGAAAATTAATTATAAAGTACGATATTTTTGTTGATTTTGGTAGATGTTTTCAATGAGAAACTTAAAATCGAAAGATTTTGTCAGAACAAGGTAGAAAAATTACAAATTTAAGCCTGAAATGTGTTACTATTGCTTATTTTAATAAATTTAGAGCGTTTTCCTTTGAGAAAATTACAAAAAACGAAAGATTATGTAAAAAAAATTGCAAAATAACCGTGAAATGTGTTATTTTTGCATATTGCAATGAATTTTGAGCATTTTCCTGGGCGAAAATTACAAAATTCAAAATATATTGTCAAAAATTTGAAGGCCGATTATGATCCAAAGTTAAATATTTAAAAATTGAAAAAACAATTGCAGTTAAATTTGTAGCCTTTTAAAGTCCTCTTGTCCAATTTATTATTTGTTAAATAAAATCTTGTAAAACCAACAAATTGTTCGAATTTTTGTATTTCAAATAATTAATAATAATAGGCCTTTATTTGATACTAAAAAATATATAAACAACTCTAGAAACAAAACAAAAAAGATCAAAATGTATTATAAAAATACCAAAAAAAAATTAAATATTCAAAAGGTAATGACTTTATTTTATAAATGGGAAAACTCAAGGAAGAATAATATAAGAAGTGATGGAAAGAAAAATAAAACCTAAAAACTAAAGAAAATGTAATAATAAAAATCAAAATTAACCAATTCTCTTTAAAGCAATGTAAAAACACATATTTTTACTAGAATTCAAAAAAGGATAAAGGTTTTTTTCTTCTCATTATTTGAATTTCAAATCCACCCGAAATCTGAAACGTTTCAAGTTTTTATAACAAAGATTTTTTGCAAAAATTACAACAAACTGGCAACAATATTTTGCGCTACCCTTTAATAAATTGATTTGGTTGTACAATTCCTTTGGTTCTAGATGTAATTCCTAGCGAACTTCCTAACTTACCTGTAGTCTCAGCACCTCCAAACTCGAAGTGTCACGTTAATCCTGACCTTTCTTTGTCCATTTCTGATCCTGACGATATACTTCCCTGTAATAATCACGTTGTTAATTCGTTGCAACTTTGTAAAACATTCGGGCAAAAAGGAAACGGTTCGGGTCAGTTTAATTCACCGCACGGATTTTGTATCGGGTTTGACGAAGATATTGTCGTTGCTGATAGTAGCAATCATCGAATTCAGGTAAAAAAGAGAGAAAAAAATAAGAAAAAACAATGTTTCACAAATTACACAAGGCGACAAAAAAAAGTCATGTCGTGACAACTTGACAAATTTTATATCATTTTGTTCGTCTCAGTGAGACAAATCAAATGCACTAAAAGAAATTCAAAAAGTCCACACACTTTGAACTAATTAATTTTTTTCTAATTTAAATGAATTTAAAATACTTTAACTTTAAAAAATCATTACTCAATAACTATTAGGACGATTTTCTTCAAATAAAGACCATTCTAAAGGGATGGCTTTGCCCTTTAGGATGATATGAAATTTAAAATTGAATATTGGCAAACTTTTCTTCGAACAGTGTTCGAAAAAGTTCGAAGTAAATCGAAGAATCTAAGAAAAACCCTACGAGTAATTTTTTTTTCTTTGTCACCATCGTGTAGAGCATCTTTTTATTAGTGAGAATCCAAATTTTTAAAATAATATACCGAGTAGTTTTCAAGATATGATTTTTTGAAGTTAAGGTTTGCTAATCAAGCATTGCTTCATATAGGTGAAATCTATGTTAATCTTACTTAAAATTGCATTTTTATAAAAGTATTTGTTTTCAGACTCTTCTTTTGCTTAAAAATGGTCAATTGCACCTTCTTTGTTCTAATTACAATAAACAAAAACTATTTGTTTACTTAAAACAAATAAAGAGTTTTTTTGTTGTAAAAATGACCACTGATCATTGAGCAAAGAGGATCTAGAAGTTTAAGGCACGAGTTTTAAATATAAGGGCAAATCTTTTTCAAATCAAATCACTTTCCATTCTGATTTCGACTTGTTCACTTTGTTCTAGTTTTCTGAACATTTTTTGAAAATGTTCTCAGTAAATGCTTTCTCATCACTTTCGAGTGATGTTAAATGCAATAAGTCACCTGATTTATTTTGTTGGTACGATTAGCTTCAGTTAGCTTGTAGCAACTGATTTATTGTATTCAACATCAATAGAAAGTGATGAGAATGCATTTGCTGAGAACATTTTCAAAAAAAAGTTCAGAAAGTTAGAACAAAGTGAACAAGTTAGAATCCGAATGGAAGTGATTTTAACTTGAAAAAGATTTGTTCTTATTTTTAAAGCTACTGCTTTAAACTGCTGGATCCTTTTTGCTCAATGATCAGTGATCATTTTTAGAACAAAAAAACTCTTTATTTGCTTTAATTAGTACGCAGGTACTCTTTCTTTGTTTTAAATAAAGAAACAGTTTTTGTTTATTCTATTTAGAACAAAGAAGGTGCAATTGACCATTTTTAAGCAAAAGAAGAGCCTTAAAACAAATAATTTTATAAAAATGCAATTTTAAGTAAGATTAACATGCATTTCTCCTATATGGAGCAATGCTTGATTAGCAAACCTTAACTTCAAAAAATCATATCTTGAAAACTACTCGGTATATTATTTTAAAAACTAATAAAAAGATGCTCTACACGATGGTGACGAAGAAAAAAAATTTACTCGTAGGGTTTTTCTTAGAGTATTTCGATTTACTTCGAACTTTTTCGAACACTGTTCGAAGAAAAGTTTGCCAATATTCAATTTCAAATTTTATATCATTTTAAAGGGCAAGTCCACCRCTTTAAAATMGTCTTTATTTGAAGAAAATCGGCCTAATAGTTATTGAGTAATGATTTTTTAAAGTTAAAGTATTAGGCAATTAATTAGATCAAAATTGACAATAATTTGTATAATATCGAAAGATTTAGTTGTTTTTGAGTAATGACGTGTTTCAGGTCCAGAACAAGGCAAAAATAATGTCATTTTTGGTAATATTTAACACAATTTTTGCGAATAAATTCGAAATAATCTAAAATAGAGTAATTTTGTAACAATCTTTGATCATTTTTGGTTTATTTTGACGATATCTTGAGGAATACACGAGTTTCTCGATCAAATTTAGTCATTTTTTGGCTTGTTTTAGCGAAATCTTGTAAAAATAAGTTTTTGGCTTAAAAACGTGTAAGTGTTTGAAAATGGCAAAAATAATAACATTTTTTTTAAATCCAATTTGGTGTTTTTTTTTGGGGAATTTATTGAAAATTTGCGTTTTCGATTGAAAAGCATGTCAAAAGGCTCAATAAAGGTAACAGTAATGTTATTTTTCAGTTAGTTTACTGATTTTTCGAGATACTTTGGCGATTTTTTTGGCTTTTGAGCAAAATATATTATAAAAAAAATGCAAAATCTCGTTAAAAAACTGTTTATTCCTCAGAAACGTGTTTTAAGTCTCAAAAAAAGGCAAAAATAATGTTATTTTTTAATTAACTTAATGATTTTCCACATATTTGGAGTAAAACACAATATGAAACTTTTAAGGAAATTGGCGTTTTTTATCTTGTTTTCTCTCAATTGCAATGAACAAGAAAGTCACTCATTTGACAGGTTTTTGTCAAAACATGGGTTAAAAGTCGAAAAACAATAGACGAAAATTGACCTGTTTGCTCATGTTTAGGCAAGATTTTGTAAAAAAAGACGAAAACCCAACAAAATGGATCAAAATTAACGTTATTTTATACTGTTCTGAAAGATTTAGCTTGTTTATGGAGCAATGCTTGATTAGCAAACCTTAATTTCAAAAAATCATATTTTGAAAACTACTTGGTTTATTCTTTTGAAAATTTGGACCACAACTAATTAGAAAAAAATTAATTAGTTCAAAGTGTGTGGACTTTTTGAATTTTTTTTAGTGCATTTGATTTGTCTCATTGAGACTAACAAAATGATATAAAATTTGTCAAGTTGTCACGACATGACTTTTTTTTGTCGCCCTGTGTTATCGGTTCCTCCAAATCGTTTCCTGTTATTTCAATCGCGAATTTTCGATATTTTTCTAATTTTTTTTGTAGGTTTTTGACAAGCGCGGCCTTTTCAAGTTCCAGTTCGGTGTAACCGGCCGTCACGATGGCTACTTGTGGCACCCTCGCAAAGTAGTCAAATTGCCACGGCAACGTTGTTTCGTCGTTTGTGATCGTGGTTACGAACGATCCCGAATGCAAGTTTTCACCAAAGAGGGAAAATTTTACAAAAAAATTCACCTTCATTTTATTGATATCGTGGCAGGCGTTGCTGTCACTGATAAAGAGCAAATTATTGTTGTTGACAGTGTCACCCCAACTGTCTTTATCGTTGGCGAAAATGATTTCCTGAGGTCACTTGATTGCTCGAGGTTCATGCAAGAGCCCTCGGATGTTGTTACGCGCGGTACGTAAATTAAGTTGGCAACATTGATGAGTAAGGCTCGGTTTATATGCACGAAAAGATCGTAAAATATGCGCATATACAGGGTGTACCCTCTAAATCCCACATTAGAAGTATTGGGAGTTCAAATAATCGTATTTATTTGAAAATTGGTACATAGCCATAAACCATTAAGTCCTCCTAAATGAAAATATTTGCAAGATGGCGGCACTTCCGGTTATACCGGAAGTCGGTCTCAACTTTCTTATTTTAAATGGGAAGGGATATTTTTTACTGTGTTTTTGGATTAATCGGGTTATTTTAAAGGAGTTTTCATCAGCTTTCCCTATACCTAAATTTAGCCGTTTTTGAAATATTTGGAGTTTTTCAATAATTTTTGGATCTGCACCTTCCACTTTAAAAATCGGTAACTCTGCTATTTTTTAAAATTTTGAATTCGTTTTTTTGGCGTTTGAAAGAGAAAGTTTAGATCTTTCTTCTGATGTTTTCAAATTTTGAAAAAAAAATTAACAAACCCTAAAATTTTAAGGTTACTTTTGTAATAATTCAAATACTCATAACTCAAATTTTCCAAATGAAATACCCCAATTTTTATTTTACTAAATGGAAGAGAATTTAATTCTGCATCGATTTGTATTAACAAAATACCAAAATTTAATAATTTTTAAGTTATGGTGACTTTTTGTTAAGACTGTCGAAAATCTATTACGTTTTCGTATAGTTTGCTATGGAAATCAAAAATGTCAACAGTTACTCATTATTTGACAAATAGTGCCAAAATATGGAGAGTCAAAGCTACTCAAACTTAGATTTAATTAATTTATTTTGTATTTATGGAGAGTGTAACAAAATTATGATGTCGTTCATTAAACAAAAATAAGTTTTTCTCACATGTTAGCTTTAAATAATGATCGCATGGTAGAACCTATTAATAATAATTAAGTTTGCATAACTTTGATTCTTCATATTTTGTCACTATTTCTCAAATAGTAATTTACTGTTGACGTTTGTTTAGAGAAAATTTTGACATGTGTGGTTAGTAATAAATTTTCTGTAGTCTTAAAAAAAGTCCATAACTTGAAAATTATTAAATTGTTAATACATATCAGTGCACAATTAAATTCTCTTCTATTTCGTGAAATAAAAATTGGGGTATTTCATTAAAAAAAATTGAGTTTTGAGTATTTGAATTTTTACAAAAGTAACCTTAAAATTTTGGGATATGTTTTTTTTTTCAAAATTTGAAAACACCAGAAAAAGGATCTAAGTTTTCTCTTTCAAACGCCAAAAAAACGAATTCAAAATCTTAAAAAATGGCAGAGTTACCGATTTTTAAAGTGGAAGGTGCAGATCCAAAATTTTTTGAAAAACTCTAAATATTTCAAAGACGGCTAAATTTAGGTATAGGGAAAGCTGATAAAAACTCTCTTAAATTAACCCGATTAATCCAAAAACGCAATAAAAAATATAGCTTTCCATTTAAAATAAGAAACTTGAGACCGACTTCCGGTATAACCGGAAGTGTCGCCTTCTTGAAAATATTTTTATTTAGGAGGACTTAATGGTTTATGGTTATGTACCAATTTTCAAATAAATACGATTATTCCAACTCCCAATACTTCTAATGTGGGGTTTAGACGGAATACTCTGTATATGCACGTATTTTAACAAAAATATGCACAAAATATTAAGAAATATGCTCCAATATATACCAAATATGCATCGATATGCAAAATTTTGAACAACAAAAAGTCAAACGTTTTTTGCTTAAAGTATTTGTTTTTTGAAAAAAACTACTTGATGAATTAAAGTTCTATAAAAATGTGATGTTTTATCAGAAATAAATTTTTTCTAAATATTTGTTATTTTGTTTTGAGTTTTACAAAAATATATTTTTTTTTAAATGGCAACCCACCAAAAAAATTTTTTATATATAACTATCTACTTTATATTAAATAATTTTTTTTTACATATGTATATCGCAATTTAGACAACAAAAATCGAATAACTCAAAAACAAAACAAAATTTTGTTCTTAAAAAATCATTTTTTTATATTACTTTAATTTATATTAATTATTATTTTTTGGAAACAAATGATTTAAAAAAAACCGCTTGGTTCAATACTTTATATTCACCCTGTATAAAACGAATTTAAAAAGAAAACTCTGCAGGGAACTAATTTTTTGTGTTTGGCTTACGAATTAGCGGTTGTTTTCTCTTTAAA